CCCACTTTGAGACCAATAATGGTTGGAGACGGCTTGAATGGGTAATGAAGAAAAACTTTAATATAAGTTTAATATAAGAGCAAATGTACAACGTTTCGACAATGTTTTGTCGTCATCAGGTAATGACAAAACCTTGTCGAAACGTTGTACATTTGCTCTTATATTAAACTTATATTAAAGTTTTTCTTCATTACCCATTCAAGCCGTCTCCAAGCATTATTAGTCTCAAAGTGGGTTCTTCGTCATCGAACATTATTTCATTATCATAACTTGTGAATGCCACATTTTGGATTATACTCTGTCATACTTTAGTTTGATCTTCATTTCTATTTCATGCTTCCCTCTTTTCACATTGTTTACATTCTTCATTAAGACATGGTCTTTGGGATAATCAATCAGCATTTACATGGTGCCATCCAGAGTAATGCACGATGTTAAAATCGCACTTTTGTTGTTTTTAGAGCCATCTTGCTATTTGGTTTTCTAGATAATGAAAATTCACCAGCCAGTTCAATGATGCATGAACTGTCTGGAGTGTAAACTTTTGTCCATATAGGTATTGATGGAAATGTCTTAGGGCTTGAACAATACTTAATAACTCTTTTCCGTGTTTAATTGTGATAACATCGCTTCCATTGCACAATTATTAGCATCTGCATTTAAAATAAGTGGATCTTCAAGAGTTGGGTATGCTAATACGAAAGTAGTGATTAATTATTTTTTTCAATTTGTTGAATGCTTGTTAACAATCAGTGGTTTAACAAAACTGATTTGGTTTTTCAAGTAATTTATGTCGTAGATGAACTATCTCAGAAAATGATGTTACAAAATGGAATAAGTAAAAGCGTAGTCCAAACAATCTTCTTCTTACATCATACAAGCAATTTGGTGTTGATCACTTCTGAACAGATTCAATCTTTGTTTGGTCTGTAGACATTCCCCCTCTGCTGACTATGTGTCCCTGAAAACTCACCTGTTGGCAGAACAACTCTCATTTCTTGGAATTCAGCTTAAAGTTATATTTTCTCAGCCAATCCAAAACTTCCTTTAATCCATTATAAGCATTATCAAAGGTCTTTTCATGTGTAATTATATCATCCAGTAGATAAGTACAATGTTTCAGTATGGTTCAGAGAAAGCATTCTCCGTTAGTCATTGAAATGTAACAGGTGCATTACATAATCCAAATGATAACACAACAAACTTCAACAGACCATATCTTGCAGTAAAGGCTGTCTTATCTCTATTTGCTTCATCAACTTGCATTTACCAATATCTGCTGTTATATCCAATGTTAAAAACCACTTTGATCCAGATAGAACATTCAAAGTAGAATGACTCTTTGACAGTGGTTAGGAATCCTTCTTTGTGACTTCATTACCTTTCCAATAGTCCTAGTGGATCCATACTTCTTCTTCACAAATGCAATATACGATACCCAAAGACTAGTATTCGATTCTATCACTCATTGAAAGCCTTAGCCTGTTTTGCAAGTGAAAGTCTTCTAGCCAACAGACGAATTGGGATGCCTCTCTGATATCAATCTTTTGATATATTTTATTTGTTTGGCCTAAGTCGTGAGGTCCAATGGAGAAGGTATCTTGACATTCCATGAGAAAATCACATATTTTCTGTATTTATAAGCTGTAAGACCTCCACAGCTTTGTTCATAGAGCTATTTATATGAGATGGTAAGTTGTTCCTATGCGAGGATTTGACGTTGGACTTCCTACATCTTGTCTTAAATGTGACTACCATGATATTCTAGGATGTGGAAGTACTATTTGTATAGCTTTACATCTAGAAATCCCACCCAGACTTACTCGAATCTTGTGTTCGTGGCTTCTTCCAACCATTAATTCACCAGGAAATGCTGCAGAATTTGGTTATACTGTAGTCCAGTCACTAGATGTGGATTTATTCCTAAAATCACCTGGTATGAGTATTTCACTTCTTAATGTTATAATGACTGCCCTCCTTGTTTTCATTGGAAGTTCAACCTTTGGTGTAGTAATTGCCATGTAGTGTAAATAGATTTCCTGGTCAAACTCTGTGAAGCTATTTGATGTTAGCCTAACCTCGCATCCATGTCTCCTCATAATGTTAGTTCTCAACTTTCACTCTTACTTGATGTCAATTATCCATAAATATGAGGAGTAAAAACGTTTCTTACAGTAAGAGTAACTTATAAATTTTTTCTTGCTGAAAATTTGTTCACTTACTGTTTGCACCAAACATCTTCTTTCTTCATCATTGGAGATAATTTTCCACCTTTCATTACCAAATTTTGTAAAACTGTGAACTGGTTTCTTTACATAATAAATTTCTTATTTCATTTAGGGCATATGTAGTATTCTGAGTTGAAACGTACCCATTAGTCCAGATAATTTATGTTTCTCGATATCTGGTTTGCCCTTTGTTGTTCCTCGATTTGGTTGGGGTTGAAGGCTCATCCTTAAAATATTGCTTCCTTGATATATCAAGAACTGTTTATTACTCACAATATTGGCTCTACTGGTCATGTTCCCCTCATTTATAGCATTTCCCTTTTCCTGATATCCTTTAGGAGGAGTTGTTATTCCCAACATGCTTTTATCTGCAATTCCTGGGCAATATGTCCTTTTAAGTTATACTTAAAAATCTAGTGTCTTGTAATTTTTTCCTCGATTCTATGTAACTAGTTGCCTAGCTAATCAATTCAGTTCTTCTAGACTATCATCAGAGGAAGTTACTGTTTCAATACCACTTGATCTGATACTTCCGTATCTTTTAAATGGTGCCTTTGGTTGTTTTTCTGCAATTTTAATGGATTCAAGTTCCATTGCCACCTGGAGAGGTTCCTAAGGATGTACATGTACTTTGCTTCAACCTAATTCTCATACGCTCATCTTTTATGCTATCTATAAATGAGTCATGTGCTAACCAATCCGTTATTTCGTGTGAGCATCCTGGTAAGATAATTGTGAAAGTCTTTAAATATCTTCAAGTTTGGCCAAGATCTCTTCTTTCCTCTGTATCTTGTTCTAGAACTTTGCTCTGGATACTTCCTTCTGTTGTATCACTCTGAACCTGTAGGACAAGGCAATTTGAAAATTGTCATAACTCACAGCTGGACGGTTATGTTGGAAAACATATAACACATGACTATATTATACTGTCCCTCTTTTCTTGATATTCTTTAATTTTCTGTCATATTCTTCTGAGTTACTGTCTCATTTGTATTGTTCTTCTTTCAGTCTTTTATAAATTCCTTTTGGATCTGTTTTTAATTTTCTGTCATTGTAATGAAAACAAAATTTTCCTTTTGGTCTTTAGGTTTTGGCCACTTTTTCTTATTGTCCTTATTTTAATTGTTTCATCCACTTTAATAAGTTTTTGATCTCGCTATGTTTTGTCATCTTGAAAGTTAAAGTTTACTCAAAGTTCTATTTAATTTTCATCAAAATAATCCCACTTCTGACACCGTTTTGTGACGAGTTCTGTCCATTGGCAGATTATTTTGGATTATTCAATGAAAAATAATGCCAAGTCTAGTCCACATAATGATAACAAATTAATTCATTTCTTCAATAAAGTTTTGTTACAGCCGTGTTTGTTTGTAAATCTAGCTTCAAATACAATGTTTCAGCATAAGTGGAAGACTGGTGGTACATAAGCCTAACTTAATTTTATATAGCTTTGATGAATAAATAAACATGTAACTTACTGAATAATTGAATAGAAGAACAAACACAATGACTCTCACTACTATCATTGAATAACTTTCCTGACACTGAAATGGCTTAATTGGTTAATTATACTCATATTTATATTGTACTTTCTACATATTAGACGAACTTTCTAGAAGCATAACTTTCATGAACTCTCTAAATCTTTACGTCGTCGTAATGACAAACTTCGTCTAACAACCATCTAAATTAAAACATTGAAAATATAGCTTTCAACAATATATATATATATATAATGTGAATAAAAGATGTGATTCTTTTTTATGGGTGAGCTAATTAGAACACTTAGCAACTCTACATGACAATATGATATGCAGATGTGTCATATATTTTCTATCTACTTTAATGACTTAGCGTTTTTGAAAACTTTTAGTTGTTTGATTTACATCCCATAATAGTGGTAACAGATAGTTCAAAAAGTTGTTAATATAATCTGGTTCTAGTTGCTTCGTTTCTTTGTTCTCTAGTTATAGCAGTAATATCTAAATCTGGTTTTAAAGAATTTGCACCATAATATCTTTTGTTGGATGAGTGTGGTGTAACAGCCAACCAATGCTGTGAAAGGACAAAGGTCACAAGGTGACGCTGTCAAACGGACAGAGAAAGCAAAGTCACCTGTTGAATTCAGGTGCACTTTCTTTAGTCACTGTCTACTAAGAGATCGTTAAGTGAAGACTTCTTTCAAGAACAACATGTTCTAGTTCTACCGATACTAATTTTGAGGCAGAGAGAGCTGTGGAGCTTATTAGAAAGGAGTGGCTCCCCCAAGGGCACAGTGGTATGTCTGCGTACTTATAAGGCTGGAAAACGAGTTTCGATACCCGTGGTGGGCAGAGCACAGATAGCCCTTCATGTGGCTTTGTGCTTAACTTCAAACTAACAAACAAGAAAGGAATGTCATTACGTCTGCGTAGGTAAGCACATTTTTTTCCGTTTATCGTTTATTTGTTATAAAAAAGATTTTGATCGTGTATTCGCATTTGTCAAGATTTATTTTACGCTTAAAGAACTCGGTCACGTTATCTATTACAGAATACTCCCCTTATTTCTTAATCGAATCTGCTGTTATTGGCGAGTTTGCCTGTCTTATATTTTTTGAGAAATCGGTTTTAAATTAAAATAGCTTAATAGTTCTATGACTTTTATCTTCTAAACACATGCAAGTTAAACAAACTAAAAGTATGCAGAGTTGGGGGAGAGGTTAATTAAGTCTGGAAGGTGAGTAATGACGACAAACGTTTATTCGGAATAATACCACAATTATGTATCTTACAGCCACACGTTCTGTATCAACTGCTCCAGTTATACTTATATCACTCGAAATCTTAAGACACAGACCACTAGAACAGTATTCGCAGTTTTTCGTTCCTCTTGGAAACAATAGCATTGAAGTGGTTGTTAAGCATAATCAATGCAATTCCAAAATCAACAGCAATTGAAAACTTTTATTTCTTTATGAAATAACAACAATAGAACTAAACACACTTTTGGCCTTTAGAAGTCTTTTGACAAGCAATTAATCAGACTGTCTAACCAACAAATGCCCGTGAAATAAAAACATACAAACTAGATTAAAAACTATTGTTATGATGTGAACGCCTTTCTTAAGCTTACGATTTGGTTTGTTTTTAATTTCGCGCAAAGCTAGCTACACGAGAGCTATTTGCGTTAGCCGTCTCTAATTTAGCAGTGAAAGAATAGAGGTAAAGTAGCTAGCCATCACCACCCGCCGCCAACTCTTGGGCTACTCTTTTACCAACAAGTAGTGGGATTGACAGTCACATGTGAATGGGCAGGCATGTTTAGTGGAACAGGAATTCGAATTCGCGACTGTCAGATTGCGAAGTGATCGAATGCCCTAACCACTTATCCATGCCTCTAAGTCTATGAAACATGATTATAATGGTCATATTGGGCACAGTAGCGTACTTATGCCACTGATTGGGCCTATTATATTTTTAATAATTTAAATGGCGAATATATTGTGGTTGAAATACTATCTCTTCTAATTCTGGAAAAACCCTATGGGCCTGAATAACGAAATATAGTTTAAAAAATATAATTAGTCTAACTAATACTAATGTCTAATATCAAGTGTAATAAATAACGTCGAAAGCTATAAATCTTATTATACTGATCTACACTTGGCTTTACTAAATCTAAAAATCCGTAGTTTGCTTGTGCATTCAACCAATTATTATACAGTCATATTTAAATTATGCAAAAAAAATGCCTCAGCCGCGCAATCGCGTTAAACTTGTGACCACGAGTGTTGGTACTTTGACGTTTGAGTTATAAAATACGCTTACTTTCTGTATAACCAAGAATCGGAGAGGTTGTAGTATTCTTGTGGATTTATCTGTAGTGTAAGGTGTGTTATTATTACTAGTAATACTATATAGTTACTATAGTATATAGATGAAGAAATGATGTTGTACTTAGAAAGGCGTATATTTTAACATAGTTTGTGTTAGTGATTACCCCCATTCTATGAATATTAAATATGCTACTAGACCGTTAAGTTGAAACAATAATTTATAAAATCTTGTTTATGTATTATTGTGTGTGTAATATATATATATATATATATATATAAAATAAAAGATGTGTATTCTTTTTTAGTGGGTGAGCTAATTAGAACACTTAGCAACTCTACAT